TTAAGTCAGCAGAGACTTCGTGAAAATTTGCAAAACCATAAAGGACTTCGTTTTCAAGAATTCTCCAAGTCAACTCATGGCGAACCCTGAAAGCGACTCTGGGCAAGTTTGATGATGCAGATGATGGGGTGCACCAAGGCACATATGATCCTGAGAAATACAAAGCCAGGGAGAAGAAGGATTGTTCGAGTAACTTGGCGGTGGAATAACGAAGTGCGAACAGTCGTAAGAGAAAAGAGGGATGCGTACAAGCGATGACATAAGACGAAATCAAAGGACAATCGTCAGGCCTATCAAAGAGCCAAACACGCTGCGAAAGCTTCTGTAAAAAAGGGCAAAACAGGTGTACATGAAAGGGCTCTATCAGCATGTAGATTCTCGCGCGGGAGAACGTGAGATATACCGGATAGCGAAAAGAAGAACGGAGTTCACAAAGGTATGACGCACTTCCTCCAATCTAAAGACAAACTTGGTGGGACGCTACGAAAACCAGAGAACATCACCGAAAGATGGAGAACCTATTTCGAAGAGATGGCCACGACAGGCTGCACGTTCAACTTTATTCCAGAAGTCAGTGCCATACAGTGCTGGACATAATTATACAGCCACTCTAGAAATCGTCGTAATTTTTGTTCTTGTCAATGAATCTGTCTGAAACTTTGCTGTATTGTGCGCATGTCAACTTACCATAACCCCTCAAAACGGCTTCCAGTCTTGTTGAGTTTGAACGGAGAAAAACAAAAAAAATCGAAAAAAGCCCTCTTTGAAAGCTGGACAAAATTATACAGCCACCTGGTTTTTCTAATCACTATCGCATTCGTTGACTCTCAAATTTTTTTGTACAATTACATCCATTGAAATGTGAAACATTTGCGACACTTACGGCCTCTTATCCTACTCAAGTAGAAGCGATCACTGCATTTCTTGCTTTTAAAAGCATTAAAAGTCAATATCCTTCAACAAACAACTGCTTTAAAGAGTTTTCAAGTTCTTGTTCATTCCAAATGATAATCATGGAATCTACTGACCCTTCTGGATAGATGAGGTGAAGAGCGCTTTCGTAAACTCTGCGTAATCGCTGATTTTGACGAACAGACTCCAACCTCACCATAGGGTTGACGCACTTTTGCACCACGAAACTCGATTTTCAAGCGACAGAAAATACTGTAATGTAGCCATTACGACAGCCAAACAACAGTGAACTCGTGTGCATGACTGGGAAGAAATTTCGGGACTGAGCACTCTGATTCAGCCGCAGTTGACATTCACTGAATGTTGAGTGGAGCACCCTGTACAATCAAAGCCAACTCAGATCACGAGATAAAACCGGAGACGCTTAAAACTTCAAAATCTTAGCTAATCTCATTCATCGGGTGAAATATGACATGAAACACAGACGGAAATAAGGAGATCTAGGGTTATATCGAATCTTCCGCTCGCAGGGAATTTTTGTGGAAAGTATTCCAGGTCTAAATCGCTACCGCATCATTAGGAAAAATCTGAAAGTTGTTGCGAAAGCTGTCTTCCCATGTAGACAATGTGATAAATCAAGTTCAGCACTTTGTGGACATTGCAAACTGAGGTTTGTGGTTTAAAAGCGTTCCAAGCCTATGGTGAGGTTGGAGTCTGTTCGTCAAAATCAGCGATTACGCAGAGTTTACGAAAGCGCTCTTCACCTCATCTATCCAGAAGGGTCAGTAGATTCCATGATTATCATTTGGAATGAACAAGAGCTTGAAAACTCTTTAAAGCAGTTGTTTGTTGAAGGAGATTGACTTTTAATGCTTTTAAAAGCAAGAACAGTGATCGCTTCTACTTGAGTAGGATGAGAGGCCGTAAGTGTCGCAAACGTTTCATATTTTGGGATGTAATTGTACAAAAAAAATTTGAGAGTCAACAAATGCGATAGTGATTAGAAAAACCAGGTGGCTGTATAATTTTGTCCAGCTTTCAAAGAGGGCTTTTTCGATTTTTTTTTGTTTTTCTCCGTTCAAACTCAACAAGACTGGAAGCCGTTTTGAGGGGTTATGGTAAGTTGACATGCGCACAATACAGCAAAGTTTCAGACAGATTCATTGACAAGAACAAAAATTACGACGATTTCTAGAGTGGCTGTATAATTATGTCCAGCACTGTAGAAGGACCAGTACGAGCAGTCACGGAAGAGGAAGTACGGCTAGCAATAAGAAATATAAAGAATGGCCAAGATAATCTTAGTCATGACCAAGATTGCCTCGCGCTGGTACACCAGCACAACGATCCCGATATGGAAGAACAAAGAAGACTAGCCGACTGCGCATTCTACCGACCAATCCGAACGATGAGCCACACTCTAGAGATCTCCGAATGAATACGAAACGCCAGATAGAGATATCATCTGTATCGAATCAGTGCGGAAAAGAGTATGTACAACCGACGTCATCCACTCTGCTCGGCTAGTGATGGGAAAATATAGAGAGAAGCAGAAGGAACCGCATGCAGCCTTTCTGGACCTGGAAAAAGTTTTTGATAAGGTCCCACGAAGTCATGTGGTGGGCCTTACGAAAACAGAAGGTACCAGGCGAGTACGTTCAATAAATGAAGTTGATATACCATAACGTTTCAAGACGTGCAAACAGCTGCAGGACCATCGAAAGAGTTCCAAATCAAGGTTAGAGTACAAAAGGATTAGTTTTCTCCATCTGTTTTTCGTCATTGTGAGAGTGGCGTGATGAAACACTTAAACGTAAACCTCCGTGGACACTTCTTTACACAGACGATGTGGTCTTGGTAGGGAATACCAGAAATAAGCTGCAATACGAGGTACAAAACTGGAAAAAATTCTAAAGTTGTATGGATTCAAGCTCAACACCAAGAAAAAGACTGCATAGAGGTGGGGAAGGAAATTCCAGATTATAAGAATCAATGGTGAAGAAGAAGACAACCTTGTAGTACCTAGGCAGTCACTTCTCAGCGGAAGGAGCCCTACAAGAAGAGGTCGCAGGCAGGATGAACATAGCATGGTCGAAATGGAGAGCCTTGACAGGAGTCTTGTGCAAAAAAAATAATACCAGTGCAAGTTAAGTCCGTAAGAAAAACCGAAACGTACCATATCCGTATGTATGGTATTGTATCGTATCCGTCTAGCAGCAAGTGGCAGTGAGTGTTGGTCATGTATGCGGAACGAAGAGCGCAAGCTTAGTGTAATAGAAACAAGGAGGTTTTGAACTTTAGGAGTTATACTGAAAGATCACATCTGCAATGACGCTATACGAGCCCGAATTGTGAAGCGCGGGCAAAACATGAAGCTAAAAGTGCAAGTTGTTAGCCATTGGCGAGGGGCGGAGTTTTAGAAGGTCGGAGTCGGAGATGGAGAACGCCTCCTCCCCAGGGTTCGGCACAAATCGTATGGAAACGAGCTGGATTTCGTTTTTGGGAAGAAAAAGCAGGGGGATATCGTTTTTGTGGCCAAAGAATCCAAAAAATTTCGATGTTTTTTGGTCGGCCTTTCGTTTTTTAAGGTTTTTTTACAGATATGGTTCGAGGTCAAAGGCGACTTCGTGAATTTCTGCAAAAGTCAAGGTGGACGTTGTTTTCAAAAAGCCTAGAAGCGGACTCAAGCCAAGCCTTGCTCCTCTCCCCTGTGGCTGCGCGTACACTAGCCCACCTAGCTGGATTTCAGTGAATATGTAATAAGGAGCGTTTTTCTGACTCGAAATTGTCCTTTGGATCCGACCAAAATTCCAGTGCTGAAAGCACATTGATATTAACGTGAGAACAAAGATCTGAATACTTGATTGAACTTCAAGCTTGAAGACAGTTCCAGATAAGCAATTTGTCCCTTCAAATCAAGCCGATATGCCATGATGCTCGCACAATTTACAATATTCCTACTCCTGAACAAAGTACTTTGCCGGTAACACCGGTACAGACATGAAGTGAACAAGGGAAAAGGCAGACAATTTTACTTAATGAATTTTCTGATTTTGCACGCGCTTCAAACCACCTAACAAGGGGAGCCACCTAACTTAACTGGGCCTTTTGGCAAGAAACATACACAGTCTGATTAAGCTTCAAACGCTGATTCCAAATATGCTATTCCTAGCTGCCGAGCACCATTCCAAAGCGAGTTGTGAACTTTTTCCTGCGCAATACTGGTAACTCATCGACTCACTGGCATCACGGCATCATCACCTGAGTGCTGATACACCTGCGTTAAGTTTCTTTAGTGAGAAAAGATTGGATTTGTTCTACTTCGATACCACAGCACCTTTTTCTTGTGGATTTTTATCACGTTCAGTAGTATGCCAATTTTGCGCAGAAAGCCCATAACTCGCTTCGGAATGGTGCGTGGCAGCTAAAAATAGCAAATTTGGAGTCAGCGTTTGAAGCTGATTCAGATTCATTTATATGCCTTTTACCAAAAGGCCGAGTTGAGTTAGGTAGCTTTCCTTATAAGTTGCATAGAAGCTGGCAAAGTTTGCGAGCATAATGTAATATTTGGGGCACAACAAACCCTTCTTCAGAGAGCATCCCTCTTTTTGAAAACAACTTTTTCGTAATGCAACATGCCAATGAGGCTTTCATTTTGAGGCTAACTTGCATATATGGGAAAATACGCTACTATTATTTACCGTTATCAAGCAATGAGTTGCTAAATGTTTGTATTAGCAATTTAAACCCGTGAAAAATTCAACAAATGAATTTTGCCGTATAGTACCGCAAATTCTAGCTTATCGATTACTTATATGAAGATCATTATTACATCCTTGAAGCTGCATGAATCTGTCCTTTATGCACCTCATGCCTTCTTAGCAAAATCATTTTTCTGGGCCTTTTTGACATTGTCCTGGTTACTGTGGCTGATACTTTTTCCAACCTCATCACTGTTTTCACAGCAGAGCAAAACATAACATTTCCTTGCCGAATCTTTCTCTTCGACATGCCTTGAGAATATAAAACTATAACACAAGTTTTCAATTCTCACCCAATTCCAGAATCAGAAAGGATTTGTTGCAACAATGAACAAAATCAAGATTGTTCTAATATTGATGGCGGTATTGTTCAATGGAGTGGGTGCGCAGTTCGGCAACTATGGTGTTTACCCGACAAGAGAAACGTCGAAATCACCAGGGCAAATTCCTCATGGGCCGGGTGCTTCTGGAATGAGTAAGTTTTTCTTTGTTTGCAAAGCTTTCAGTAATCGCCAGACATTTTGCTTACAGTTGGTGTGGGCGCGAACACTATTGGCAATATCCTGCGATCTATGGGACTTGGAAAGCATTTGGTTAACTCTTACATATCCTCAAAAAAGAGGGGAAAGATTTGATTTCCGTAATAAGAATACTTGATTTGCTATTGATCTAAAAATTTGGAACGCATAAAGGAAGGATGTGCATTCGAAAAAAAAAACCATTTTGGACAATAAGTGAACATATTCTTGACCTCAAAACATTGCTAATTTGTTGGTAAATCGCGAGGTTATATACAACAATATGATTATAAGATCCTGTTGGCTCTGAGCTCTATTCTGTGTTTTGGTGCAGTTTTTGAAGAGGCTCGGAACGTTTCGATTTCATCAAACTTTGCAAATAGAGAGTTTCCAAGATTCAGCAACTGTACCAAACCATATAATTGTCAAAACTTATTTCAACTTTATTGAAGACTAGTTGACTTACTCGGCTCCGCCCGGCCCTGTCATTATTATATTCGTAATCAGTGCTGATTACCCCCCTGTGCCAACTCCCAGCCCCGTAGCTCAAATTTTGCAAAAAATCGATAAAATCGATGTCGATCGATGACGAAAAGTAGCCTATGACACCCGCCGGGGCCCGAAGTGTATGTGTGCCAAGGTTGGTCCGGATCGGTTCAGAAATGGGATTTTCTATTCGGAATATACGTACACACATACATACAGACAGACATACACATAGACATTCAGCTTTATATATAAGATTCAAAAGAATGCAAATATAGGCTCAAGGACTATCTTATAGATAAAAACAAACTTTCAAGCGAATTTTAATCTTGTGAGCTCCTTCTTCCTCTGAGCTGAAACAATAAAGAGGGTATAGAAAAAAAATTGTTTTTTCATAACGAGCGCGAAATAGTTTTCAGGGTTTTGGTAAACGTGAATCCAAATTGCACTAAGACCTCAGTATTTTGCAAATCTATCATAGATTCTAGAACCTGAATGTCCACCACCAGCGCACCACTATTCATAGTGCATTGGTATCAATTCATAGCACTGCCTTCGAAGCTGAAAATGGACAAACAAAGCAATGTTTCCAGTGAGAATCAGAGAGACATTTTGCTGTTTGAGAATAGTGACGGTGACTGCAAGATGTTGTAAAGATTATCAGTCCTTCGAGGTGCGCCAAAGGTGTAGTGGTTTCTCTTCGAAAAAGTTGCGGCAACATAAAATATAAGGGTATGTCAAAGTATGTTCGAACTGTTTGATTGTTCATATCTCTTTCACGAGGTCTGGAATAGTAGCGATAAGTTGCATGTGGGATAACAGAATAGAACGATTATCGATAGCTTTTTTACTGCAAAAATGCGGAAAACTTTGAAGAAGGGTTTAAGCCCATTAACTCGCGAAAACTACTTAGAACTATTTCTCTAAGCTCTTCGGAGACGTTGCTAATGCATTAAGCTTACAGTTTACCAAATACTTTGTTTATAAGTTATGCCGAGTGTACCATAACATCCATATTCTCAAGTTTTTCGAAAATTAACTTTAGATTAAATAATAATAATATTAAAATAGCTTCCTAACCTCCTTAGTTAAGCAGTTAAATCAGCGTGCTAAAACTATAGTTAGAACCGAATATTCGCGTTCGATTAATTTATTCGAAATATTCGACCATTCGAATATTCGAATAGTCGAGTATTTGATAAAGTCCAGGTATTCGATTACTCGAATAGTCGAATAAACGAGAGAGGCCTGTCTCAATACTCGTTCATTCCACGATTTGGAAAAATGAGTTATTCGAATATTCGTTCATTCGAGAAATTTCAAAAGAAATTATTCGAGTATTGAATATTCGAGCCAACTTAAGACGGTTATTCGAATATTCGAATAAGACATCGAATTTTCGAATAAAGATCTTTCATTCCACTATTCGATGCCAAAAGAAAACTTCAGCAGTTCTACATTGAGTGCAAGTACATCCCCGACTGGTCAGTTATACAATTGAATGATCATATCACAGATTGGCCAACAAGTTACCCTTTCTAAGGCAATTGCGAGTCATGCCAGAGCATAGTGATGACAAATCTTATGCATAATTCATTTAGAGTGGTACTATTTTTTGGAAATCGCGTCTGCGTAGTAGTTGAGCGATACCATGTGCAATACCTTCAAGCTCTAAATTGAGTGAGAAAGCAAAGCGTCATCAAGCGACATCGCGGAACTGGTCCTCAAACAGCTTGCATAAGCATGTGAGTGACCGCAGTCCTTTGAGGCAACACGTTCTTATTGTGGACTTATCTCCTTGTTTAGCAACATTCATTGCTTCTTCCAGAAATCTCCACTTGCCTTGCCAACCTAATCACCGCCCGCACGTCAAGATACTTGAAAGCTATGTTAACAAGCGCAAGGCCAGAGCAAGGCAGTCGCGAGATCTGAGCCGCTTGACTTGTGGAGGGAGCCTGTATGTCAGTCACCGTGCTCAAATCGGCTGCCTTTATAGTCATGAGGGGTAAAAAACTAGTGTCGAAATTTTGCAAAGTTTATAGAGGAGAGTAATTCTTGAGTAGGCGTGTAGGTTGACAATAATTATTTTGAACCTAAGTAAAAGATGTGAAAGGTCTCTAACAACAAAACTACAAACCTAAAAACAGCTAAACAACTGTGTGAAACTTTAATCCTACAACAAACTGTGAAGCTCAGCGATTGATAATATCCTTGAAGTGTTAGACTAGAGCTAATATATAGATATTTTCATAACTTTTCTTTTCCTGGATTTAGATGCTTACAAAAGTATTATGTAGACAACACTGCGTCACCTCTGCTGCAGAGGTTGACTGATTTCATTACTGTAAACCTTTCTTGTGTTTTCTCAATGCTAGTCTTAAAAATCATGCAATGCTGACCATCACGAATAAAGTACGAACAATCACCCATTCCAAAAGCTTTTCCATGTTGAATGTTTAGGTTTGGGAGAAAGCTCTGTGTAGACTCGGGAGAAACTTCTTTGAGTAAAATTAAATCGGATTTGAAACGTTTACTGACAATAAGTAAGGCCTAGTAGCCCTCTTAAAAGACAATGAACACCTTGAACTACATGTTTGAGTGAAATCCTTCTGTTTCCTAGGTAAAACCCTGACCAAGCGACAATAACCCAGTCATCCTTACCAGTTGCTAAGCATATAATTATCAGCTACAAATCTAAATCAAGTAAGCGATTAATTTTTATTTCATAAACTGCAACAAAAAAAACCAGCAATGTTCGAGCCACCAGATTATTCGAATTGTTAGAATAGTCGAATATTCGTACAGGTATGATTATTCAAATACTTGAATAGTCGAATATCGACCAACCCCATTTTATTCGAACATTTGTTTAATCTAAATTTGAAATGTAGCTTTATTCAAATATTCGAATTCAAATAGTCTGAAAATCACATATCGAATAATGTTAATTCGTTCAGATGTTTTTCAAAAGCCGATTATTCGTTTGTTCCACGAAATTTTTCGGTCGTTTCAACTATACTAAGAACCTTGCTACACATCCTGTTAGATCATAGATGCGATAGGTGGAGAAATTTCCTGACCTCCTTCACTTTAGGGCCGGTCTCTGGCTGAACCCTTTCACCTGAGGTTGAGACTAGAATCAAGGCATAACGCCAGAATCAAACAGCTGTTACGATGACACTTTTTGTTTGGAAAGGAAACGCCAGTTGCTTTTCTTCTCAGACATCAAGGCTGCAAGAGATTATCGAATCAACAGCGTTTTGTTTGAAAAACGCATGCTTGAGACTTTCTGCTCACTCAAAGTGGAGTTGCTAATGAAACATAATGGTAACATAACATAAGGATGTCTGATTCTTTGAATAACTAACATTGTACCAATGAATGCACATTGTCTCAAAAAAGAGTAAAGCAAGAGTAGAAAATTTGGACTAGTTAGTGATGGATGCTTGATCACTGACAATAATCGTACCAATATCTCCTTTCACTAAAGAGAATAATAATAAATAAAAGAGCACTTAGATTACTCATTTCCCAAGCTTTCGAATCATATATAAAAGTTCGAAAAAGACCTTCTTGGTTTGGAAAGATTGCCCAGAATTGGCTGATATTGTAGCTAGATAAAACTGCTCGTATCTCGCTTCACAGAAAAGCTAGAAAAGAAAGAGACGGTCTACGTCGATTTCTCGTGTTCTTGGCTATCGAAAGATTGGAAGCATGTTAGGGATTTTTTTTCTTCCCGGCTCTAAAAAGCACTTGATCCGCTGACCGATAAAAGCCAATATATTGAAGGAGCTGGGTGGAGCAAGCTGGTAAAAATTATCTCCACCCCATTTTTGAAAACTGGCAAGTTTTTTCTCCCAGCAAGCTACAAATCATTCGAAAGCCTAGGAAAAGTGGAGTCGACGTAGACCGTCGAGTTCTTTCTAGCCCCCCCCCCTACCGAGATATACGCTGCATTTTATCTGCAATCATGTCCATTTTCAACAGCAGATTTCTGCCAAACGAAGACCTAATCACGCTGGTTATCTATCTATTTTACAGAGCAATCTTCGTTAACAAACGTAGACTGTCAACTTTCTTGTAGCATTCATTTAGAGCAGAAATTGAGGACACAAAATCAGTTGATATATAAAGTACGTAAAATCCCTCATATCTCGCGGCACTGAAGACCTAGAAAAAAGACGGTCTACGTCAATTCTACATGACCTCAGCTTTCGAATTGTATGTAACTTGTTGGGGCATTTTGCTTTTAGGGCTCACTTACCCCCTTCACCTCACCGTAGCAGAGATCCCCTTCACCTGGAGAGGGCCCGGCTCCCCCTATCGCATGTGTTAGATTATCTGAGTTCTACTTTTTTTTGAAACCGCAGCTAGTCTATGGTGATAAACTGTTTACTGAAACATTCTACCGTAATCCAGCGATAAACGACCAGTGATTCGGCCCATACAGAAAATCCAATTTGAGGCCAGTGATTTTACTTAAAGGCCAAAAGAATTGTGATAGGAGAGATATCAACAATAAAACAGTATACATATGTACATACTGTTGGTAAACTCCTGTAAGAGATAGAAGTTAAATTCAGCGCAGTTCATGAAGCCCACGGGAGATCACCAGTATTTTTAAGCCATCTATCTTTCCACAAACTCAATCAGGGCATCGTACAGTCGTACTAAGGATTATCAGGGCACGCTGACCACGTTTTTTATCAGAAAGATGGCGTATGAAATGAGTTTTCTGGAACATCAACTCACCAGTGATTCATGGAAAAATTAATCGTGCGATTTATCTGTACCACAAATATGAAGGACTGCTATATCACATTCTCAGCACAACTTTACGAGTTTTCCATTGATTTTGAAGGAGAATGATTTCACAAAATAGTGGCGTTGTCCTAGAGATCCCCAATGTTTGTACGAAATCTTACTTTGTTTACTTCGTGCAATGTCAGTGTATAATTGTAGTACAACCTCCAAAGATTTGCAGAAAGCAAGAAGAATACTTTCCTAGAACACCGACGTATAAGGCTTCTCCTCACACCCTTTCTCCAACGAAAATTACATGGATATCGTTAGTATACTCTCCAACGGTTTCTTGCACAACGGATTTATTAGGTATAATTCAATGAGGCATTATAAAGCCTATTCTAAATTTCTCACTGCAAGACTACAATTTTAGTTTTTGCACTGTTTAGGCGTTACCGGCAAAATTGTCCTTTGGCTAACCTTCTGCTGGCTTCTTCAGTTTTTGATTAGTTAAGCTCAATATTTGGACGGAACTATAAGTTACCACAACGGCTGTATTGCCTTCGGTTTCGACTGGAATATTCGAAATGATAGAATTTCGCAAGCTTGATAGCGCGGTTAAAGGGCCAGGCATACTTCACGCGATCTCAGTCGCGACGCGATTTGGCAATATTCCAACTGTCTATAACTCGCTGTAAGCACATTTAAAATGTACAGAAGATAGAGCAATTTATCAATCCACCTAAGTTATACACACTATGCGTGTGCAATTTGCTAATGTTGGATCTGAAAAATTCTGGCGAACTGCCAAATCGCGTCGCGACTGAAATCGCGTGAAGTATGCCCGGCCCTTAACACAATAAAAGGAAGAAGGAATAACACGAACAGCGCGATACAGAAAAGTGGAGCAAATTGAGCGTATGTATGGCTTTACCCGCATTTGCACCATGGCGTTCTTGATGTGCGCCAGCCCGTGTGTCTGGCGTACAATATTTCGCACATTATGCTCCTACACGTGATCTAGTGCAATTTGATACATTGCGGCGACTTTCAAGTCGCGTGACCCATTGACAACGAAGAAGCAATGTCTGGCGATTGATAAAGGATATTCGTCGACGACTGCCCCGACTCGTGCAATTACACCATCGTGGGCGCGCCTTTTGGGAGCCTTTCCAGCTTGACAGTATGCTGCAGCGCGCGGGGACTTGAGAGCTCGCAGCATCCTTGTCCTTTAACCTCTTTCGTCTGTTAGACATTTCACATTGTTTTTTTTTCTTATTTTTCGTTCCAGGCAGTTACATACTTTAATGACTATGTGAGAATATCGCCGCGGGCAAAGTTAGAAGGAAGATGAGCTTTCTTCCTAGTTGCAGTGGTGGTTATCATGGCATAATGGAATTGCGTATTTTCTTCGATTTACAATGATTTGACATGTTTATTAGGACAGACCATTGAAATGGTTGCTTCAGCACTCTTATAGCAGGGACACCATGTGGGAAATAAACATTCGAGTGATCTCATGTAAGAAGATGCATGATAACCACTATTACTCATGAACAAAGCACATATTTCCACCTAACTTTGCCCGGTGCGATGATTCACGACTTTGAAAATGGATGTTTCGTACGTAAAACGGGGGAATAATTCAGGAAATGTGCCCAAGGTAGTTTTTCCCTTACTTTTCAGTATTCAATGAAGTAGAAAGTAGGATAGTTGATCATCAAGAGAAACTAAAAGAAAGGGAAAACGAATTACTGCCTAATATAAAAAGTAAGAAGAAAAAACGATATGAAATGCTCAAATTAAGAAAAAGAGGTTAAAGGACAGTGTTGCTGCGAGCTACTGAGTCCCAACGCGCTGCAGGTACTGTCCAGCTGGGAAAGGCTCCAGAAACGCGCGCCCACGGTGGTGTAATTGCACGAGTTGGGGCAGTCGTCGACGAATATCCTTTACATAGCATCTCTGGAACGAAATGCCGTCAAGTAGTTTCAACGTGTAATCACTAAATTTTATCTGTTATGCTTTCTGGATTGGTCAATTGATTTTGAAGCCGCTATCTTGCCAAAATCATTCTCTGCTTAAAACATGCTTTACCATAATAAAAGCGTATGTCTTACTAGTATGTCATATTTTACGTTTATTTCTTTACATTTTCTCATCAAAATTACTTTTATTCGAGCAAAGAGAGAAGAAGCATAAGCATTACAGATTTGATTCAAACATAGCAGGTTTATGCAAACATTTGACATAGCCGCAGTGTTTGAGTGTTTTTAAGGAACAAAATATGAATATCTGTTCCTGACAACTTGCTTGCGTTTCAACAAGAATGCTACCCTATAAGGTTTTTCTGTTCTCTCGTGAAGATTGATATAGCATCAAATTCCAGGCATAAAGAGAGAAAATCTCACTATATAGTGCAGTGCAACTGCCGTTTAGAGGGAATTTTGAAGTACTGAAGTCAGGGATAAGTTTGTCTTGAAGGCAGCGTCCCACTAGTTTGGGGGTACCTGGCTCTGGTATTAGTGCAATAGTAGACCCCCTAACTAAGCGACGACAGAAGTTTGCGGCGCGAAAGGAGGTCTACGAAGTCTACAAATCGTCCCCCAAGTGGCCCGAATCTTACAGTCTCGGGCGAGTACGAGATGCAATCAAGGTAGAGACTCAGAGTCGTTGTGGGACCCTGCACTCATGACTGCGTGCGCTATGCGTGCTCTGGCCTTGCAGTTCGAAATTGATCTGTGGGAGGCGTTCGGGCCTACCGTAAGATTTGGGCCACTTGGGGGGGGGCGATTTGTAGACTTCGTAAACCCCCTTTCGCGCTGCAAACCTCTGTCGTCGCTTAGTTAGGGAGGTCTACTATTGCATTAATACTAGAGCCAGGTACCCCCAATCTGGTGGGGCGCTGCTTTCAAAAGGTTCTAGTCTGACTTCCATTTGGTTTTCAAGAACATGTCATCACCGCAGCAACGATCGGCAAAGGCTGCAGTGATGAAATGCATATGTTAGAGTATCGGCTACTGCCGGTTGTTACCATTTGCTACCAAAAAATCTTTTTGAGTTTACACACCCTTGCCTTCCTGAAAAGGACGTAATAATAGTTGATGCGGAAATGTTTACTGTTGCTGCATAAAGAATGGGCTAGAATATGGCATGCAAACTTTCAGAGTTTTATAACCCAACAAATTACCAGGTTAAATTGGCCTTATACATTGATAGGGCAGTGATAGGGCTTTGGAGGAAGATGCCATTCAAATTTAATCTGTAATTGTTGATGAGCAAGTATAAAAGAGGATTGTTCAGGTTATTTACTTCAGCTTTTACAAAGAACTGTATATTGCGCATGCTTGCAAAATGCTAATTGGTTCACTTGTGATAGTTCTACTGATATTGGTCTCTGGCTGTAACTCTTGCTATTACTATCCAAGCGCCGCTTCTTACTACTCTTGCTACATCTACCCCTACAATGACTACTATGGCAGCTACTACCCCTACAATTACTATGGTAGCTATAGTTATCCTTACAGTTACTACGGTAGCTACGGTTATCCCTATTACAACTATTACTATCCCTATAATTGCTACTACTGCTACATGTACCCTGACTATGGTTTTGGAATGGGAGGCATGTTTAGTGAGTTGTGTCACTCAAAGAAAATGGATAATTTCGCAATGAATGATACTTCAGATCCGCTAGGAGGATTGCTAGGCTCTCTCGCAGGGCTACTTGGCTTGGGCTAATCAAACGCATAATAAACTTGAGCTTTGAAGACAGATTCAAATAAACTGTATTAGTTGATTATTATGTGTGATTAACGCATACTGAGTGTGAAGAACACTAGGTCTTGTAGAAAATGATCTTTCTCACCTTTAGGTCGTACAAGGTCTGATCACACAGAACGTCATACAAGCACCTAAGGATTCTGTGGACTTTCTGAGACATACAGGAAGATCTAAGAGGTAACAAAAAGAACGTATGACAAGGTATACCTGCACAGTCACCCAAATTTATGCATTGAAATACTACTTCCAGGAAGACATGATGATTACATAGTTTTTGAGCACCATTAAAAAAAATAAAGCAAACAGGGAACAGTGGTACACAGAAACAAGTAAGAGAGTGGATTTGTACCATGATCAGAAAACCGCCATTTGTGTGCGGTCAAAAATTGTAATCGCGATCTGAAGATCCATCTGAGCTTGATTCAAGGTTTAGCTGAGGATAGCCTAATGTGAATGGTTCAAGTGATCATCAGCAGAAGTTACAGGGTTTTTATGTTGATAAGCTACAGATTTCATGACAATGTCATAATCTAGTAATCTTCTGCAGATAAACTATACATTTTCTAGAAGCAAAGCACAAGACGATTGCGTTTCGATGATTCTTGCCGCTGTCATTACTATTACTTACAAAAGTTACAACCTAATTCATAAACACATGGTAGTTGAGCGTCTATGTGTACAAAAAAATACTAAAAATTAAACAAATCTTAATGTCAAAAAGAAAAAACTCCGTGGAAGAAGGAAATAAGAGAACCATGGAATGGCCTTTGCAGAATGCTGCTGTGGATATATCACGTCCCAAAAATGAACCCCTTAATATATCAAACTGTTTTTGATCCTAATGGACATGGGCCACTATTCGATAGAGCAGAACAAGCCCTAAAAATGGCCACAAGAATAAATTTAAGTCCAAATTAGGTATCGGAGTAAGAAACTGAAGTATAAACTACTCTGGAAATCGAATCTCTTTTCAGATAAGGACTTCCAAGCTGGTCATCATGCAGTGGACACATAGGGTGATGCAAAAGTGATAAGTTTTCCCTATTCTAGCGCGGTAGGAAAGATATAAGATTGTATATATCGTATCATACGACAGAGCAAAGCAGGTTCTGTAAGATGCTGGAACACTCGCGAAGGAGTGATACAGTAAAAGTTTGGAAGAATTGCTCGAAAATTTTAAATGCCCAAAAATTGAATATCTGTCCAAGACTGCCTCCAATTTGCTCACAAATATATCATATCGCATCAGCTATCCATGTGTACACTTGCTGTATTTTTTCCATCTCCAAAAGCCGAGAAAGTGAAAATTGGTATGCTCTGACAAAATCAATGCTGACTGGTCCAGCATAAGTGATTCACTACTACATAGAGGTAGACAATAATTTTCAGACCATTCAAACGCTAGTTGTCGAAAAATATCAAATTCAATATCAAAAAACCGGAATAGGCGATAGCTTCGTATTTTTTAGCAATTTTCATACTTCAGCTTCCACCTACAGAGAATACGCCAAGTGTTATATGAATGTGATATGGATAGTATATGCGTAGTCAAAGTGGAAGTTCTCAAGATCTTTTACTTTTCCACCGGGATGAGATAAGGAACGCTTATAACTTTTGCACCAACCTAATAGTAGTCATAAATGAGATAGTTGCTGGTTTTGCTGCTTTTTTCCACGGCTTAAAAATAAGGGACCAAGATAGTCCAAAAATGCAACTTGTCAGTATTCGAGATTCTCATACGTGCTCCTCAATCATCAACGCACAAGCAGAATTTCAAAGTTATACTTGCTAAGGCTTGCAGTATACAAACATACGTGAGAGGGACTGGGAACAAAGTTTACAAATTTGGACTACCTTTTTGCCCTATTTTCATTCCCAAAAAAGTCTAGCAAATGCATTTATATACGTGCTGGGCATCTATCTAATGACGACCAATCTAGAGCTTCGTAGTTTTTTTTTCGGCGAAGATTAATTCTTAGGCGATAGGTACATTTTTCGATTTCCGCTTTGAACTCTACAAAATTTACTGCTTTGAGCTCTGGTTGTCGTTCACTACTGATTTGCTCTATCGAATAGTTCCCTACATTTTCTAGGAAAACAAAAGCACTTTGCATCATTTGGAAAAGCAGTAAATTCTCGCAGCTGGAACTACCATATTTTGTAAGCATAAGAATAGTACATCCTTTAGCAAATTATAATATTCTCCATGTCTTACGTTACTTGATTTCTCCATCAAAAAAGTGGATATATTAGGTTGTCCCGAAAGTTTTGTCGGTTTCTTTCATCGCTCACTAAAACTCACAGAACAGCAATCCATGGACGGCTTAAGTATCACTTGATTCAGAATTCTATTCTCTTTCTAACAGTTACACTCGCTCTTCGATCTACCCTGTCTTTGCAATGTTATCGCCATGGCTTTTGAGCAGCTTAAAAGTAACGCCAAATCTTTCCTGAATTTTAGAATTTTTTATTCTGATGTTTCCAAAGAATGCTGATAAGTGTTATGTAACGCAAACCTTCGGCTACACTATCTACTATTTTACATTACATGAGCCGCGTTTACCAGTCCGTTATAATTATTTATTTGGTGAAAACCGCGGCTTTTTGATTAAGTTTAACAAGTAAAAGTACCAAAAATTCCCAAAAGTGCTTTTTCAAAGCGAATCAAAGTTGATTATGTTGCATAAATAACGTTTAGTAAGAATCATGTTCCAATAAGCAGAAACTTCGAAAGCTTTCGTGTATTTGATGCAGTTGCGTGTTTCATGACTTTGCCAAAACTCGAGGCTTCCGAAGAAATAATTTTTTCAAGCTAAAGACAGCAAATTATGGAAACCTAAAAATAGCTTCTTGTAGTCCGAGAATTGCTCTATTTGATCCACACTTAATGCTTTTCGAAACTACGGAATGAGATTTTTAAAAATTAGCCTAACTTTGAGCAGGTAAAGTTGACGGGTGGAGAACTTCGGCAATTATCAAAAAAAGCATACAAGATTGTGGTATGAAAATGTAACCGTAAGAAAGAGAAGGAAAAGCTGCATCGAATGCATGTTGAAACTCACTCATTTATTGTGCGTGCGTTTTACAGTGGTTTGAAAAACCGACAAAACTTTCGGGACAACCTAATATGAGGTGTTTTGCTTCATTAATTGCCCTGCGATGTTCGCCAATGAGAAGCACTGGGATACCACAACATCTTATACTCGAAACCTGGATACCGCCATTTTTTTCTAAGAAACCTATTAAACGACTGCACGGATGTAATCTCAGATCCGCTTTTTTCAGGACTAACCGTGCTTACTTTTCCCCAAATAGTATCCAGTACACGACTTATTTTATAACCTTGCTTATTTTATAACCTTGTTTTTTGGCACATCTTGAAAATAAACATACGACATGTGATGGGTTACATATTCAAATGTGCATTTGTTTTTTCTATAGAAACTGATCTATAAACGATGATAATAGTGATATCAAAAACTGTCCAAACATCAAAACTAGCGGGCATCGTATGCCTATGACCTATAAAATTAATCTCTTAAAGGTCTGGAGGCGAAAATGTCGAAAAAATAAACGTAAACAGATTCCGCTGTCAATTACACTTGAAAAATGATTCAATCAAAGCTTTATATAAGAGGGAAGATAACGGCCGATAGTGTCAAGAAAGGTTCCTCAGCCTCGGAAATGTCGACTTTTGTGTTTCTGATGGCTTTCCTCCTGCTAATTTCCGGCGGCGCTCCTTGCTACAACGGCTACCCCTACTCCTCCTACGGATCCTATTTTCCCTACTATAACTACTACAACACCTACCCCTACCCGTATTACTACGGTAACTACGGCTATGGTGGTTACGGCTGTTGGTAAGTGCGGCCTATATTCGTATTAAAGTAAGTGATTACCAATCACCTTTTTTCAGATATCCGAAAAGCTATGCAGGAGCCTCACGAAAGACCGAGCAGAAAAATCACCAACTGTTTACTTCTGAAAAAGTCAATAAAAAATTTACGAAGCTTATAAATATCGAAAAACATCAGAAAGATTCTTGAGACATAAAAAACCTGTGCTTCTCTTCTCTTCCTGAAGAAATGTCAGCCTCACGTCGCAGTAAAAAGATCCTTTATTTCAGTTCACATGAGTTTCTGATCTCATTTCAGCTATTCTTTTTTTGATTTGCATGTTTGTTCGGGTATAGGGCGAATGGGTCTTATGAGAATAGTGGCATGTGATAGAAAATCTTTAAAACATGGTCGTGGTATAAAGAGCCTTTCTCAATACATTATAGCACGTCCACTTCAAGTTAACCATCACCTATCATGAAAGCTGCTATTGCTGCGAAAACAGTAATAACGACATTTATGATGACTTGTCGATAATCAAAGCCTGAATGAAGAAATGTGTTAAATTCAACATGAGAATCAGTCTTTGGTTCAGACTGCTACAAACAGGATAATAAATTGTTTTAATGGTGATTGAGAAAATAATGGCAGCTAAATAGTCCAGATCGCAGGTTTCATTGACTCAGCAGAACAAGTGGTAACAAAACAAATTATTCATCCTGAATAAAAAATGCGCATGAAATACAAAGTTGCCAGAGAATATGATTAGCTAAATGATGAGATCTAGAGGGACATGATGATGAACAGTAAAGAAAGGTGAAGAACGGTAAGGTATATAAACTAGCTACCTTATTATTAGGAAGACAAACGAACTATGGTGCATCTACAGGGTTTACCAACTGCAGTGTCGGGAGCATCAGCACCTCCGTTCCTGCGCGGCCCTTTCGCCTAAACTCTGCAGCTTTTTCGTGAACATGCTCCTTGATCACTTTCCCACCGCGAGCGTGGGAAAGGCGAGCCACAATCGATTGGATATGATTAGAGAGCATGATCGCGGAAAAGGTGCAGAGCCCCACGCAGTAGTAGAGATGCTGATGACACCGACACCGCAATTGATAAGCTTTGTATATCTCACATTGTGGTCTAAAATTAATAACCCAGGCACCTAGATGCCACTGAAATTTAGTAGAATTATTTGGAAGTATTTTCCAAAATTGTACCTGACAGGACTGGAAATGAGATATGTGTGCGATTGATGTTCGTTGAACGAGAATGGCAGATTGACACTTTGGCCATTGTATATCCAAAACCGGATCAAGTGACTCTACAGCCTCTTTCTGACATTCATATCCTGGTTTGATTCTATGATAAATACTGCTCATTTATGAACATCAGTCTAAACCTTCTTTTTGATTCTTAGAATATCTAGATAAAATAGGCAATGTTTTAAAAATAGTCAAAGCTTGTGGTCATCTTTTTTCATAATACGTGCTGTAGATCGCTCAAAGCATGTTAGCCAATTAAACTGAGATGATTTTCCTGGGCTCTTCCTACTTTTGGTCCCTAGATGTTTGAAAAATAAATATTTCATTGAAGGTGCCGGATGACTCAATTACACACTGTTATACTGGTGGCTGTTACTCTAATCAATGCAGTTTTATCGTGCCTTTGCCCGCGGGGAATTTATCCCTGCAATCCTCCTTGCATTCGTTATCCTGACTATGGAGGCTATGGGGCTTACTATCCAGTACCGGTGGCACCCGTTGGCATCGCAGGAATTGGTAAGTTGTCTAGAAAAAAATAAGATTTGGTGATTTTTGAACTTGATTTTTAGATTCAGCAACAGGTGCGGTAGTTGGAGCAATTATTGGCGGATTGGCTGGATTGTTGAGTGGAGCAAAGAAGAAATAAAGACATGGCACCTCTTCCAGAAGAAAGGAAATTCACAAATATGATACCCATTGAAAAAAAAAACTATCACAAATAGCCGTTGGAATATAATCATATGTACAGTATGGCCGAAGCTTGCCAATAAATCGATAAATCGATCGTTTGATAATAGCTCTCTAACATTACACGGCGGTAAATTAAAACGACCGCAATCGCTGCAGTATCTTTGGGACAGTTGTGGGCCGAGGGGAGCGGGAAAGGAGAAATTCTTGAGAATAGCCCATATGAGTATAAAATTGTGCAAGTAACGAAATATTTCCTATTTATGGAAAATTCAAAGTAGCTTCAAATTTTTATTGACCCTTGATGCTCTTATTCTTCCTTTTTTGCAACAAATTGGGTCTTGAACCAGCTGGATAGAGAAAATATCAATAGAACAAAAATCCTGTCAAAAAATAAATTTGTAAACTCTTAACGACTTCAAGACATAGTTTTTGAAAGTAGTGACATTTTGCTATAAGTGAATAATAAGTGCACTCAAATCCAAAAGTTTTGTAAACGTTTCAAAGAATTAAATGTTATCTGAGGCGACTTAATTGAAAAATCACTAAAAGTCACAAGTTCGAAGAAAGTCCCCCCCCCCCCTTGAAAAATTTTGGATCACCATGAATTAAAGTGATTATTTTACATTATCATTTTAGACATACTATAATAGATATGTCACATGTTTGGATACAAAAATCTTTATTGAGCAATTATCATGAGAAAATTTTCAAAGTTTTTTTCTGATATTTTGACTAGTTTCGACTATGACTACATCATGCTCAAAAAACTGTGAATAGCGCAGAGTTCATTGCTCGCCTCCCTACCTAATCCCCCTCCCCTCCCTCCAAAAAAAAATTGCTCGGATGCGGAAAAGAGACCAAGTTTTTCAATCGCAACCGGTGCCGATGTGCCGATGCCGACGACCACTTGAGATACACACGTAAAGGCCATTCGTGCGCCTTGTTGAAGACGTCCCTCACCTAACCGCCGCTATCGCGCTTGAACCATTTAGAAATGACGTTTACCGCTCTTATTCTCATTTTTTGTGGAGCTGTTAATGCTCAGCTGTATCCTACGCTTATTCAGTCACGGCCACTGTATCTGCCAGCACATCTGCCACCGAATCTTCAGGTAGGGGTAAGAAATTTGATTACTATGTTAAATTTAGACACTTTTTTGTTATGATGAGCGTCGTGTAATTGACCATTGGTCACTAATGCTACATTAGTTCCAAAGCTTTGGGATACAAAAATCTCTGAAACCCAAATTTCTATGCAAAAATTCTTGTCCTCTATTGAACGTAGAGTCCGAGCAAACATGCATATTCTGTTTTTTTTTTTTGTGGAAACTGATTGGGAGGTCCTTACTAAACAAATGCTCAAAAAAAGCTCATATGTCCCATTCGTGGCCGTAGAATACAATCTTGAGCTTTAGCCTAGACTATACTTTGCTTCCTACATTCTCCAGAGAAGCCGATTCACTCTCACCTACTCAAATAAGCTTCTGTGGGTGGAGACGAGAAGGAAACGGTTGTGGAAAAATTTTAGACTTGCTCATCAGTCCATCCATATAGCTGGGAAGGGAATGACAACCCTAATAGCCGAGAAGCTTAAGCACATTATTTTTTCTTCGTTTTTGGTCATCCTTCCTTTCTTCCCCCCCCCCTCCCACTCTGAAAATCATTTGATTAGGGATTCGTTAGAGTATAGAAGTGTATAGGCTATCGCAAAAATCTGCAGGAGTTTTCGAGAATGTTCGAGTGCTTATTTCATATGCCCGTATTCAAACTGATTTTTTTGTTTCATTATATCATATTGCATGATTTTTCAAAAAAAAATCTTCTCTGCAAAGAAAGGACAATTTTGAAGCATCTTCACTTTTCAACGAGCATGAAAATACCCGGAAAAATTAATTCTAAAAACAATCGAAATAGTTCAGCAACTCTTACACTTTGCCTTACTTTCAGCTCGCCGGTGCCGTTCCAGTCTATGAGCCAGCCTATCCACACCCACAAGACCGTATGCCCAAAGCTTTCGGGACATCCATGGCACCTCAACAAGTAGTTGTAGAATCTGCACCACAGCCTGTCATGACATCGGTCGTGCCACAGATGGTACCAGCAGTGCCACCTCCATCTGCGGTTATACAAGCTTTGCCAATACAGCAACCTTATGCTTATGCTCCACAGTATTCCTATGGTTATCAGTATCCTGGATATCCTGATTACAATCAAAAACGAGAAAATCCTCTTAAACGGTTCCTTAAAGGAGCCGCTGATGGTTTTATGGTGGGAGCCGTTGGATGGATGGGATAACCAATCGATATATTGATTTTCTGCTTGTTATTTTTCGTATGCATTTGTTGTTTACTCACTTTCAATTTTTTATGTTTGCGGATTGATTTTTTTTCACTAACTTTCCTTGCCGTAACCCAACACTTGCCAACTTTTATGTACGCAATCGCATCTTAGGCACGTCATTTACGTCCTTGAAACGGGTTCCATTCCACTACACACAATATCCTAAGCAAACATTCCATATAAGCACTCATGAAGGGAGATTGTTCCGTCTTCTATGTGGCGCCTATTCGCCAACCTTGTGTAACATTCTTACGATTATGAAGGAAATAAATAAATTTATTGTAACCTACTTCTTGAAATCAGAAATCAGCTTGTTCCAAGGCATGCCGAGCGAAATATGGGTACATGGATTTCCCATATGGATATTGAATGGGAAATTTTGACTAAGCCATTGCTTGGATAGCAGCTCATATGATGCATTCCCAGCCAAAAAATTTAACTTCAAAGAATTGCCCAGTACCATATCTCAAGCAATCAGCGTTCTCGATACGATACTGGGCGAAAATTCAAAGTTGAATTTTTTGTCAAATATGAATCACATGGGCAGCTACTTGGGATAAATAGAGTGAGATCAAATTTCTTCGATTTCTTGCCCAGATGCTCTTTTGAGCGTATCAAACGACTCTGACTACTGTAAAGGTTACGGTCTGGGCGAAAATTTATAAAACTTCACCATTCCTAAGAAATTCACTATTTCATAAGGGCCGCTTTTTTCAAATTGAGATTAGATGCGAACTTCTTTGCATCCTCGTCCAGACCGTGCTTTTCTCAAACGGACCAATCAGCGCTCTCGACTACGGTAGAGTCATGATCTGGCGAGTATATCTGACCGACTTCACTATTCCTTAGATAGAAGAGGTGTTAAAGATTTACCGTTCACGGTTTACGATGACCTTCATTTCTGGATAGTGAATCTCGACATAAATGTTTTTGTACTTCTTTTTAAGTGTCGCGAAACATCTTGACCTTAACTCGACCTCTTTCAGCGCACTGAACTTTAGGACACGCAAGAAAACGTTCCACATGGAGAATCATTTACTTTCAATAATCGCTATCAGTCTAATTTTATGTAGAGTAAGGGAGAGGAACAGCAAAGGATACTAACATTTACTGAAAACGCAATAAAAACTGCATCGAATAGAATGTGTTACTTCATTTATCGTTTTGATTCGTACGATCTGCAGAATACGCATCTGAAACACTGAATACGACGATTGATGAGTAAAAACCAAGTTGATGAACAAAAAATATAATTTTCGTAGTACAGAAAATCGTTTTTTGGGTCACGTCAAAATTGTAAAAGATAGACGGAGAAGCAGGTTATGGTAAGCTCTTACACTCTCTTGTTAGCAATCATGTTCCTTTCAATATCTCCTGGCATTGGTACCCAAACTATATCGCCAGTATCTTGATCAACGGTTGCAATGCCCTAAAATTAACCTTTTGACGACAATACTTTGGGTTTATAAACGTAATGAATGAACGTTTAGTAAAACTTACCCGCAAAGAGGATCGGAACAAACCCAAACTTCCGACAACCATTCCAAGCATGACCAAGAGGATTGCGTAAATGCGCATATCTGTAAACTGAAGCAATAATTTCGTAAAACTTTGAGGATATTGAGCTACGAGAAAAACATAAAGAATGGAGATTCTATAGGGGATTCAGATATTTAGAATAAATATACTAATACAGTGATTTTTGTGCGGAGAATTTGATTCCAAAGTTCTCGATGCTTCCTAGAGACTGCATAAAGATGAATGCACCATAAATATGCTCATTACGCTCAATATTCACAGTGTAGGGTAAGTTTAAGAAAATTCTCAGATGCAATGATTAGAGCCAAGTCGCAAATGGACTTTTTTCAAATTTAACTGATTCTAATTTAGATTAAGCGGAGCTAATTAAGCCCTGAGCCCACCGCAAAAAAAGTGAGTAAATCCCTTTAATCTAAATTGAAAGGCTGCTGTAGGCTCTCCCATGTTCAGAACAATTTCCGCACATTGTTGTGAGTTATGCTTTTACGCAGTTAATTATTTTTAGCAGGAGGCAAAACAATTTTTACTTGAAAACACTGAAAAGTATTATAAGAAGCGCGTAATGCAAAGAAAGTTGCAGGTTGCTGAAATAATAATCCCAGGTGAATTTTGCTTCGAGAACTATAGTTTTGTGAAGTTGAGAGAAGCAGGTGAAAGGCAAGAGGCCATGTTTGACGTCGTGTCGGGATTGTCATTGAGCCCGTGAGATGAAGCGTGTGTAGAATTTCAAACAAGGTGCGCATTTGCTCAAAGCAACAAAGATCCGTGGAGTTGAACTTCAAAGTTGTCTCGAAAATTCATTTTCTTAAATTCTGTTTAAGAATCATCTGAAAATTGCTCCATTTTCAAAGGTAACAAAAATGCATTTTCACCAGACGCAACCAATGGAATAGCAGCGAAAGTTAGTTCAAAAACTTTAAGTATGAGTCGTGGTTTCCCACGGTTTTTACCGATGTGGAGAGTGAACCGTTTAGAGCGAGATGGTTTATAAGTACAAGAGGCACTCCCCAACGAGAAGAACGAAAAAAATTCAAGAAAAAGAAAGATTAAAATGAAATTAAATGGGCTTTGGGTTTCCCTCATTGCACAATATCGGTCGAAGTTAAGATATAGTCAAGGTGAGAATGAATAACGAAAGCGAAATCTTTGAACTTAGAGAAGGTACCAGTAGAGCCAGATTTTTTTATTATATTTTCGGAAAATACTTTTATCGATCGAGTCAAAGTTAGACAGTTACCAAGCCAAGAAACTTCTCCATCTTATTAGTCATAAATGTTGCTATATGTTAATGTCAAATAATAACAGAATTTTTATTTTGAACTCATTCAAAAAAAACTGTTTTTCACTAGTCCACATTGAATACTGAAATTCTTCAACATCTGGAGGATCCTACCAATTGGTAGCGGAGTATAGCAATATATCTATACATTTTGTTAAAATTGTAACAACGGGGTGTTAGTTCGCAACTACATCAGACATGGTAAAGAAAGTCAATCTCCGCCACACACTCACATTATAACATTATCCAAAGACACTAATGGACCAAAGTTTTGTATTTCAAAGCACCAAGAGTTAGAACTTTTGTGGTGAGACTCCGTCTCAAAAGTGCTAATGAGGTACGCCTAGAGCGATGGAGTTTCCTCGAAACGAGGTGAATAAGTAATCTTCCTCAGCCCATAATAATGTATCTGAGTTGTTCACAGGAAAACAAATTAGAGCTATGAGTTTAGTCAAGTGTAATGATGCCTTTGAGGCTAAGAATCGTTAATGACGCGGAAAAAAATGCTGTTGTTGCAGCTGTTGTTTTTATCCAGCGGGTACCTGAGAAAACGTTTTCATTGCATAAGTCTTGTGTATAACTAGTAGAAAAATTTGAAACGATGTGATATTTGGTTATAACAGAGAGTCATGAACTCTAGAGGAGGTACCGCTGCTCAGAAATTGCAATTTCGAAACCGAAGAAGTCTAAGCTCCTTCAGAATCCTGTTCTAAAAACATGCAAAAAATAGTGAGTCAGAAGTTTATCGATCTTTCTATTGATAGAACAAAGAGTTAGGAAAAGTGGAGTTTGTAAAGTCTTGATAATCTTCAATTTGGGTATTCTAGGGGGGAGGGGGAGCGGAGGGAACGGGCATACATAGCAGTCTTTTTGTAAACATATGGGTTGTTCGTTTTAGAATGGCACCAAAAATTCTGTGAGAGCCTTGAAAAAAATCATCGAGTTTTAAAAATTGCACAAAATCATTACGCAGGAAGACACATACTGGGCAAACAAAGATTTACTTATAGCAAGCCCGAGAGAGTTTTCAGTCCTTCTAGATTGTATGATTCGAGCGCTTGTGGAAGGTACATTAAGTATTGCAAATGTTCGGAATAACGTCGTACTTTGTAAGAAACGCAAAGAGCTCCAAGATTTTGGAAATCAAAAGCTGCAGGAAAAAAGCTGCAAATAATTGTGGGTTACGGTAGGAGCCCCTGTTATGCCCCAAGGGTGATAATTGGACTTCAATACACCAGTGTTATGAAACTCTACCATCTATCTTTAATTGCGAGATGTATCAGTTTAGAAATTGGGTGATTACATTTTTAAAATGAAGTATGTGAATTCTTTCAGCTTTAGTAATTCGATATATTATACATTAGATACAAGAATGTAACTGCACATATCTACATGGAATAGTATAAACATAAACAAAGAAAAAGTTGAGTTTCCTCATTTTGAGAAAATCACGGCTTTTTTGCTTAACTGCCGAATCTTTTTACAAGTTAATAACATTGATGAATTGACACTTGAGTATAGCGAATTCTCCTTATTAGGATTCTTTTAATTTCAAAAATACAAAATGTTTCTATTAGTTTTCTACAAGCTTGAATCTGTGCAATACGCAAAAAATGCTTTTAGCTCTAAGTGCTGCTGAGAAGCGAAGAATATCTCTCTCAAGTCTGCTAAGTCAAGCGAGTCTGCCGGAAGTGAGAAGTTTTCTCTTCGACTTTTTTTATAGAGATGTCGGATAGATTTATTTATTGGTAGGCTGATAGCTGCGAGCTGATAGAAATGCATGTGGACTGCTACTCACGTGGTTTACTGCCTGAGGGTCTCGAAGACTTGGATATACGCTTTATTTGAAACAACCAGGCAAAATGAAACCAAAGACTAGCTCACTAATAATAAACTTCGTTTTGGACGAGACGAGCAGACATATCCTGATGTCCACGCCCGTTTTGCGTCATTAATTGCTTCGGCACGCGAAACTTGCCAGGAACAATGCTTCAATGATGAGTACTCAGCTCTTCACGGAAGTCTATCCAGTGGATAATGAATGTAATCCATTATTTATTTTCATTGAAATTACTCCATGAGAAATGTGTGTACAGAAAAATACTCCTACAAACAACAACGAGATCACTTCCTCCCTATTCCGGAAAACAGCGGGTTGTACTGGTAGCCGTAGTTGAGACCGAGAAGACTGAAAAAATATTGAATATCCGGCTGAAATGATGTGAGAGATAATTGACTTACTTCCTGCACCTCCAGTCGTACATTCCATAAGGATATCCACTACCGTACCCCATTCCGTATCCCATTCCCATACCCGGATATCCTGAGAAGAAAGATTTTGTGCTGAAGCATGTTTGATGGTGAAAGTGATACTTTATTGTAGCAGAAAACTTGCAGAAGTAATTTATTGCAACAAAATAAGAAGTCATGTTAAATTTCTCCTGACGGCTTTGTGGGCTAAATTTGAACTTTTATGCAGTGGAACATTAGCTTATTTTTGGTGGCTTTTTACAACTGTTTCAAAAAAAAAAAACCCTCTAGATAGCTATCAAACTTTATTTGACGAGGAAGATACAAGGAAATACCCATACATAACATCAATCAGGAATGGTTAGCCATCTCTATCATCCAAGTCCTAGCAGAATAAGGCCATACATTCCCCTTTCATTTCGTAGATGTAATTCAAAAACTAAAATTTCAAATTTTTTGGTCAAAAGTCCAATCAACTCAAAAGTAAGGTGATGATTTTGATGCGGCGCTCTATCGCTACAAAAATGATGAATTTTGTACATCAAAAAGCCGGCCTAGGCTTGGCTGATTCGAACAATCTCGACAAACATTGTTTCTGTAAATCGAAAAATCCGATATAACATAAAACTCGTTCCACCGTAAGCAATTCGTGCTTAGTGATCTCTTACGCATAATTTCTTGCATTCTTTATCAGTAAACCTGAAACTGTGCATGTCGATGAGCTTAGTGGAGTGCAGATAGTTAGCATAATTTATCGTCCTGCAGGTGAAATTATGCGTAAGAGATCACTGAGCATGAAATACTTTTGATGGGAAACGAATTTTATGTGATATGGGGGTTTTTCCATTTTACAGAAAAAGATGGAGACCACATGGGAGTCGAAGAAAATGGAATAGTGCTCGTTCTGACTAACGAGTGAACTTTCTTTAGTTGAAGTGGCCTTTGCACATGAAACTTGAATCACTTGCAAAGCATTAAAATGACTCCAAATCTGGCTTTCTATTCTGTGACACGACTCTCCGAAAGAATTTATACGCTAGGCATTCATAAAAATGATATACATCTTTTCATGACCTTAGGTAATATAGGAGGAGATATTCATACCCAGAGACGCTGATCAGACAAAATTCAAGCATTGTAATGAATGAGGTGGTATTGCCGTAAAGGGCCGGGCATACGCGATTTCAATCGCGACGCGATTTGGCAACATTCCACATAACTCACTATGAGCACATTCTAAATGTACAGAAGATAAGGCATTTCATCAATCTACGTAAATTGTAAACATTATGCATTTGTAGTTTGCTAGTGGTGGATCTGAAGACTTCCGGTGAATTGCTAAATCCCGTAGCGACTGAAATCGCGTGAAGTATGGCTGGCCCTTGAGGCAGAAATTTGGTTTTATGCTAAAAGATCAGCAGTAGTTTGGAGGGTCGGACTTAAGAAAGTTTTTTTTCTGCGAACTTTTACTTGTGTCATTCGAGAACTGAAAGAAAACACTGATGATTTTGAAAACAACAATTTCATTAATCTCATAAACCGAAGTTGTCGAAAAGATATTCAGTGAGAATTTGTTAATCAAACTCACCCATTCCGTAGCCTCCTCCCAAGCCCATGCCGTAAGGATTATATAACCCCAGGCCCAGTTGAGCAGCGACGTCAACAGCGATTAGTATGCATAACTGAAGCAATTGACGAAAATTCATTCTCACAACGAGTCAATCGGTTTTTGGAGCCGCGGAGAGTTTTATAGTCGTAAGAGTGGTAGGGTCGGGATGAAACGCTTCACTGCCAAAACATAGATGAAAAAATGTCCCCTAAGCCGATTTTGCCGCGCATTGTTAATGCGGACAACTGGTACAGGCGGATTTTCATCTGCATACGCAACGAATTCAGGCCAGCATGACCTCATCATTGCACGTTAGTCCATCGCTACGGATCAAAAGGGCAAGTTATGAATGTGCATCACTACAAGTTTCGCTTGCGGGAATGTGCATAAGTAACTAGGTATTTTTCCTGGACAAAGTTTCCCAGAAAACACCGCCATGATTTCAAGAAAATAACTTTCTGTGTTTGATTAATGAAGCTGACTTATGATTCTTTCCCTTTTTTCATGGTAAGAGGAGGGGAGTAACGTAAAAAATGCAACTGAGAATCTCCCTTCAAAATTTCTAAGCGAAATGTCTCTTTCAAGTTTTTCTGAGTCGGAACGCTTTACCAAAACTATCGTTGTTGTCCAAAAATAGTCTATGTGGGTGACAACTCCAAATGAAGGCAACACAGAATTTCTTCCGCCCTTTGTGTCTAAATTTCCACCTTCTCCTCTTCCTCAGCAGCTATCCGAGTTTTTCAAAAAACAATCTTGAAAAGCGAAACTGGCTTCTGTTTACTTTCTTTGAGAAAGACCTTGACCAGACTTATTATATCACATTTCCGCAGCTAATGGACACCTTCTTTCAAATTTTATTCAATTTTTATCTGTTTTACTAGTGGACCAGTAATCTAAAGGTGCTATTTGGAACAGCGTTCGCTTTGGGACCGCTCGCGGTTTCCAGCTGCAGATTTTTGAATTGAGTTAACGATCCTTTATATATCAGATTTCTTAAGCAGATTTATACAGTCAATTAAGAACATTGAGAGCTGCAAGTCGGTCATACAAGCATAAACCAATGAATTATATCTAGATTTATGGCAACATCAAATGACCATCAAGTAAAATACACGTAATCTTGCGGAAAGTTGAAAGTATGGACAGGATTGTCGGGTCATTAACCTGATATGTGCAATTACACGCAATTACACGCAATATACCTCTTGGAGACGTCATCATGGAGACGCATGCCTAAGTGAGTGCTTCGTCCATGATTTTTGTACATTTTACTTTTCAGAGCATTAGGGAAAAAAACTGACAAATCCTCGCAGCAGATATACTTACAGCGGCCAACAGGATCCACATTTGACGTCCTACATGTTATTTGCAATTGCACATATTGGGTAACGGAAAGACTCGACTATAAACGGAGATATGAATAGGCAAGCTTATTAAATGCATAAACTTTGAGAAAAAAGACAGTGAGAAAGGCTTTGAGTCTTATAAAGGCATCTAGTCGACATTATTATATTCATATGAGAATCTGTGTGCATTCGATGTCACAAGAGAAATTGTTTAGGCCAAACCAGATGTCGTGGTAATGTGGCCTAAATGAGTTTACATCTTTCTGATGTGCAAACATAAGTTTCTATTATAGATCTGAAAAAAAAACTGATGGGAAAACAGAATTTTCGGCTCACCGTTTCTATGATATTTCACATACAAATCGGCTGTTTTCACATACTCATCATATGTTGGAGGCGGAGTCTCGATATTTTCCAAAGCGCTTTGTGACCTACAATTTACAAAATCAGCGAGAAAAACCGAGAAAAAAGAATATGTTCTTTAGAAAGCTCATTTGAATTAAATCTTTTTTAGCTTACCTGCACTCGCCAATAATTTGATAGACTTTCTTGCGATATCTTCGCACTTCTTTGTCAAATCGGAGATCTTTTTCGAGGACCCACTTGTAAATATAGTACACCATGTAGACACATAGAAAGTTCAGTGCAAATATAAGCAGGACCAGTATTACATAGTACACCATTTCGTTAGGAAACTGAAACAGACTTCTATAAATACTAAAACAATATATTAGGGTGATCCAAAAGTAATGGGGCACCTTGATTTTTTTTACATTCTTCAAAAATTCTTTCTGATTAGCTATGAATGCCCAGCATTTTTAACGCCTTTGTATAAAGTGACCTTCGCAGGTTATCTTGACAGCACCTTACAGCATCTCACCGACATTTCTTCGAGTGGCGCTTCAAAGAAGTCAGACAGACTTTTTCGAACGCCATCCGAATTTGGGCTGCTGCACCTGATAGTCTCTCGACATATGGCATACCATTCGAAAGAGCTTTCCAAGCTCTTTCTAATGATTACTTGAGTATCCAAAAATTGCCCATTATTTTATACAAAAAGGCACTTTATTCGAAAAAGAGCGGTGTTCGGCGCAGATTTTCAGACTAAAATTCATGTTTTGGACCACAATCTTTTGAAAATGAGAAAAGTCGAAGTAATTTGCTTATGTATGGATAGAGCGTAAAAAGCACTATCAGAAAGCAACTGCTAAGTTTGGGCTTATTTGATTACCTTAATGAAAGAATAGGTAATATGTCTCCTGATACCCAATGCTTTATCTTCTGTTCTAAAGCCTTGGGACCACAGAGCTATTGTGGATTTGGTGACAGTCCCCTCACCCATTACTGCGCACATATCTTTGGTAGGCTCAATTGTTTTACTGCGGCGCTGCTGCTCAAAGTTCAAAATTACTCGAAGTGATGAGCTTTAATTTTAAGCGCTTATAAAAATAACGCCACGTGACAGTGCCCAACTATAGACCTCGATCAGAAAGTTTTGTTATGTACTAACATCTACCAGAACTTGGACTTCCAATTAGCTTTTCTATTTGAGAAAACTGCATTTATTGTCTAGCTGCCCCATTACTTTTGGATCACCCTAATAATATGAGAAATTTGTGGCAGTACAGGATCTAGAATAGCAAAAAAATTCGAAAAGGATGATAAACGTTTGAGCAAAAACTTGGAAAGAGAATCAGTGGGTAAGCGACGTCGATACGTTGGTAAGTAAACAGTTCTATTTGTATGGCGCTATTGGTGCAATCATACTTGACACAACGTAGCATAAAAAAAATGTAGAACATTATCTATTTGAATGTTTCAGCATTTTTTCTTTCAAAAAGTTTATCAAATTGTTCGCAAATAATAATGGAAATTCCAGTTAGAAAAATATTGATTGCGAGAGCAGAGGAATGAAAAATTAGGAAAATATATTGGAATAAAATAATAAGTTAACCAAAATCAAAATGAAATAACCTACATAACTGAAAATATTGATGACGTCATGGCTCACACCATTTACTGCTCCAACGGCATTATTGACCTAGAAAGCGTATATTTGAAACGGTTATGAAAAATTTTAAGAAAAAATAAAAAACTTAAAGTGCACTCACCTCAGCATCGAAATCGTTCAAATTATCATTTAGGCCTTGCAGTATGCCATCCAGTTGATTATTGAATTTATACAGTGCCAAGTGTACTTGCGCTATCCCTTCGTTAATTTTTGTAATCTCCGCATCTACTGACATCCGTGCAAAACAACAAAGCGCCTGAAAATAGGGAGGGGGACTTTGACAGAGCAAGGATAGCTTTAAAAAAGGTAATTTTACGAAATATAGACGTAAAGTGTTCCAAATCATGTAGAAAGAGCAAAGCTATGTATCGATTGATAGGCTGATATGGTGTGCTATAAAGCTTATCTACGTTCGGGATGCCTACGCTTGAGCTGTGATTCACTACACTACGCTTACTCACGGCAGATATGGGCAACATTATGTGGGAAAAGCTCCTGGTAACGGTTCTGTAACCCTTTTTTCACGTTTGATGTAAAGTGTTAACTTGCTGATTTTCTAAGAAGTCTAGATTGTCAAAAAATTCAAGGAGAAAATATAAGTTTTTATTTTCTAAAATTATCGGCAAGCAGCGCGCTAATTATTATGAATATTGATGATCCTAAAACAAAATGACCTAAAAATAAATGAAAAAATGTAGCAACAGAAAAACAGTCAATAAGGAGATCGCATGTAGATAGCAGAGCAATAGATCTTTCCTTACAATGTATTAGGTTGTTACATAAGTCTTGTTACACTTTAATTTCTTACGACGATAAGTCGTGAACTTCATAATTTTGATAGGGCTCCAGGGTACCATTCGATAGAGCAAAACAAGCTCTACAAGATAGTATGCAAAAACTTGCACCAACTTCGAAACATTATAAGTTTGCATCCAAAATCTGAGTCGCACTGAAGGCTCAAAAAATCGCAAAAAATTCATATCTTTGTTTAAAAATTCTCCGCATCTTCAACTCATTCACGCAGATTGCCCAGTATATCAAACACTTATATGTACCGTTCATGTATTTTCTCCTCATCTAGAAATCGAGAAACGGCAAATTTTTTAGTTTTACAAAAACGAAGCTATGTTGTTCCTATTTATGTGGCTGTATACTACAAGCCCCTAGGAGTATAACCGTACCGTAAATTTTCAGCTTTCCAGAAGCCCTAGTTTTCGAAAAGTACCAAATTTAGCTTCTCTCACTCGAGTGTTCAATGCTAATTTAGGTAATTCTCGAAAACTAGGTCATCTGGAGGGCTGAAAATTTACGGTTATACTTCTAAGGGTATGTAGTATGCAGCTACATGCATAGAAACAGCATAGCTTCGTTTTTGTAAAAACTAAGAAATTTTCCTTTTTTCGATTTCTAGATGAGGAAGAAATACAGCAACGGTACATATGAGTATATGATATAGTGGGCAAATTTCGTTAGCAAGTTGGAGATTTGTAGGATATTTCTGAACTAAGATATGAAGTTTTCGCCAATTTTGAGCCTTCACTACGACTCAGTTTTTGGGTGCAAACTTACAGTGGGTCGAAGTTGGTGCGAACTTTTGCAGATTATCTTGTAGAGCTTGCTTTGCTCTATCGGATAGTACCCTGTAGCCCTGTAAAGAATATGAGGTGCATGACTTATCGCCATTAGAATTAAGTGTAACAAGACTTATGTAACAACCTAATATTTCAGTTGGAAGCCCATTTTCATCTCCTCTCCTTTCCCGACAAACCGGTATATTTCTGAAAGAATGCATTCACTGCTTCGTTTTGAATTTCCACGACAGATTGTCTTTCAATATATGGACGCAGCAGAGTCACTATCGACTATCAATTAAAATTACAAGATTTTCAGTAAAGGAGACTGTGAAGCAGAATTTTTATAGCATTGTTTTTTGTTAGGTGAAGAAGATGAAAAAAGTTTTGAGCCGTGAATCTTATTTATTTGAGATTTGGGCATTTTTGTTAGAAAAAAACTTTATAAAAAACACAAATACTGATAGTTCTCTAACTGCGTTCCGATCAAAAAACGTTTCACAAAATTTTTCCGAATCTTTGCGATGTCTTCTAAACTATTCGCAAGTTTAAACCAAAAATCTGAAGGTAATGTGGCAATAGCGCCTCAAAAATTATTCGAGGTAAAAACAAGTCGAGCATGCATGTGATCATAGCCAAATATTGTGTGTTTATACTTCAAGTAACCGACAAATAGTTATTTTCACTCACTACCAATTGCTGTTTCAGCTGAAAAATTATCGAAAAAATCCATAGTTTTGTAAAGGAATGACGGACAAGAAAACAACATTGATTCATTCTTCCTTGCAAATCCCGCATCTGGGTGTTGATCAAATTCAAGATTAGAAAACCTGTTTCTCAAACTCATAGCATTACAGTGCAAAGATCTAACGATAAGAAATCAAAGAACAAGCTTGCCTACAAAAAAAACGAAAAAATTTGGTCGACAGCCAGAAAATAAGCAAAGCGCAAAAAACTGCTCTCTAGTGTGTGTACGACCATGAGTAGATAAAATATGTGCAAACAAAAATCGACACGAGAGGATAGAAAAACAAACATCGTCGAGCTGCGTCAACGTAACGGCACAGCAAGCGACGTTTTGCGGTATTTATCCCTCGGGTATTTGTTTGATCTGGATAGTATTCAAAGGTAGATGAGAGGGTGTTTTGAAAGGTTAAATGGGGTCAGAGTTGAAATAATGAGCTTCGTTGTTAGTTAAGAATGTACGCAGAAGCTGCTTGCTCCTATTCAGAGGAGTTATTTATTTGCAAAAAATTGAAAAAATGAAAGCCGTAAGCAAGGACAGCTATGGCTACCAGTAACCGTTGAAACAAGACAGAATCTTGCATATTTGTGTGACTCGTTCGATATTCATCGCCCATAGCATCGCGATAGTAAAAATGTTTGCACAGTGATTCAGGATTCCCAGCTCGGAACTGACATTGACCGCTACATTTCTTTTGCAACGGTCAGCCCTGAACTAGTGAACGGCGATTTTCCATTTTGGGATGTGTAAATATTTGAATATTAGTGGTCAGATGATATTCTTTGATTTGGCTACCAATGTTGCGGTTGGAAAGCTATCAAAAGGAAACTGCTGTTGGAAACCAATCATGCACTCATTCCATACTCGACCATCCTTAAATCTTGGCATTTTATGTCCAATGTGTTAGTTTTTAGTAAATCGGTAAGCGTTTCCAATATTGTTATCAGTTTATTAATGCAATCAAGCCAGACATGTCAACGTTTCCGGGGGAATCGCATTTGTCAAGACCTTCAACAATACACTTCAAACGGCCGCCCAACACTTTGACAATTAGTCAGGCCACTATATCATATTAGTATGCTCTCAAAGTTAATTGTAAGCTTAATTGTAAGCCATCAATATGTATTTGCTCATGGCTATCTGTTAAATAACCGTTGCTTTGAGCCAGTGTCTTGTGTTGCTCTTTCTCATAGGCTGCTTCCATAGCTTCCAAGTGTGGATCATCGCGATGACGGTTATCTTATAACTTCTTGCTAAACTAATAGATTTTTCCACAGGTGTTTTCCACTTGAATCGGTTCGCCCCACTTAGAGCGGAGAACGGAAATCTAGCAAGCTAAATGTCGTGGGCCTCCCGCCGGCAGATGTTAGATCATTGGCGCAGCTTCTGCCAACTGATGTAGAGAGTGACTAGACTGAAATGAATACAGTTTTGTTGGTTTGAAAGCAGTGTGCTGACGGAACTAAAATTGTCTCGCTTCAACCATTGAGCCAATACTCACTCCATCCATCCAAATGCGGGCAGATAAAGCTGGAAGCTAGAAAGACGCACCGGAAGAGCCAACCACTGTATGATGGCACAACGACCAAGTTTCCCGTAGTCTGCCCATTTAGGACAGTGCAAATTCTTTCACCATTCGTGTTTGGGCCCCGTACAGTTAAAAACTCCAGCGCGTTCGCGATATTTGCGCGCTCGTCTGTATAGAGCCCAGATTCCTCTAAGGCAGTGACTTGAGAAAATTGCGACGGCGTGCTTTTCACATCTACATGGCCTTCTGGATTCCCTTGACTATGCTCAGAAGGTTAAAAAAGTGCTTATGTGGCGTTTCCCGGCCTTAGAGATCGCTGAGGGGGCTGGGCGAGCAATCCAGCCAAAAACAACGAGTGGCTGCAGGAAACTGTAACTCCAAGCATTTTGGTGGCAATCGGCTGATCGGCTAGGCAGCCAAAAGCGACTCATTTGGCGATCGCTCGCCCATTCCCTCCAGCAATTTCGAAGACCGAAAAATGCCATAAAAAGCACTCTTTTAGACATTTTAAGCACAGCCCTGGACTCAGCGCAGTCAGGAAGCCAACGAGGGATGGAAAGCCCGCAACCGCAATTTTTCCGAGCCACTACCTTTAGAAGAAGTCCTCTCCAGAAATCGTTCTTGATGACCCTTATGTGCAGAAGCAATATAGATTGTTTCAGTCTGATCGCGACTGCACTGACCGCAGCTAATTGCAGCTGACTGCAGCAACCGTAGCATGACGCAAAAACAAAGAACGGCCTCGACTACGACCGGAACACTTAAATTAACGCCAAAATGGCTTTTTTGATTGAAAACACTTTTGATTGACGCCTAGGAATATCATTTTACTGAAATGAGTGAAATTAACTCAAAGGTTTCACTTTTCAGTCAGACTTTTGCTGCTTTTTACGGGAACATGCTGCAGCCGTGCTGTCAGTGCGGTCAGCTGCGGTCATTGCGGCATTACGAAATAATCGTATTGGCAACGTATTTCAATTATTTGTTGTTTGTTTGATGCAATTATTTATAATTTGTCATCAATAAATACATACTTGTGCGTAGAATTTATTAGAAATATGAAAACGAAATGAGAATTTGCGGCAATTTTTTCCTTTAAAAAGATGTAGCGATGGAAGGAGAACATATGGAGCCGTAATTGTAGAGAATCTATTAGACTTCATGTTGATCCAGACTATGTAAGGGTATGAGAAGGTACGTAAGGAGAGAATATTGCCTTCGAGTTAGCGCAAACAATCGTTGGAATAAGAAACCAGTTTGCTTCTCTCCAGATTGTTTTGCAGTTGTCATTTGTTGTTTCTGAATGACTCTTCTTATGAATTCGTAATGTACAACATCAGCATTGTCGTTCTAAAAATTTTCAGTTATGAAGAAGACAACGAAGTCCTATT